GCCAATCTTTCAAAGTAAAAAGTTAAAAAAAGAAAGATCTGAAACCAACAACCTAACTTTACCACTTAAGGAAATACAAAAAGTAAAACAAACTAAACTCAAAGCAAGCAGAAGGAAGGAAATAATAACGATTAAAACAGAGATGCATAAAATAGAGAATAGAAAAACAATAGAGAAAATTAATGTAGTCAAAAGTTAGTTCTTTGAAAAGATTTCAGAAATGACAAATGCTTACCTAGATTGGCAAAGTGCAAAAGAATACTCGTTACTAAAATCGAAAGTAAAAGTGAGACCATTACTACCGACTTTATAAAAATAAAAAGAATTTTAGGAGAGTACTAAGAACATATGAATGCCAAGAAATTGGATAGCTCATATGAAATGGACAAATTCCTAGAAACTCAAAACATACCAAGACTGAATCATGAAGAAATAAAAACTGTGAATAGACTTAACACTAGTAAAGATATTGAAGCAGTAAGCAAAATCCTCCCAAGAAAGAAGAGTCCTGAACCTGATAGCTTCACTGGGGATTTCTACCAAACATTTAAAGAAGAATTAATACAAATTCTTCTCAAGCTCTTCCAAAAGTTGAAAAGGACAATAACTTCCTAACTCATCCTTTGACGCCAACATTACTTTCATGCCAAAATCAAAAAAGTCTACTACAAAAACAGAAAACTACAGACCAATATCCCATATGAACACTGATGCAAAAAATCCTCCACAAAATAATAGCAAATTGAATTCAGCAGCATATGAAAAGGGTTACACATCATGACAAAGTAGGATTTATTCCTGGAATGCAAGGAAGATCCAAATATGAAACTCAATCAATATAATACACCACATTAACAGGATGAAGGAAAACACACACACACACAATCATCTCAGCTGAAGAAAAAGCATTTGACAAATTCAACACCATTTCAACCTTCTATGAACTAAGAATAGAAGGAAACTATCTCAATGTAAAAAAGACCATATAAGAAAAACTGAAAACTAAGATTATACTCAAAGGAAAGAAATAAACTTTATTCTCTAACATCAGGAAGAAGGCAGGAACTCCTGCTTTAACCACTTCTATTAAACATGGTACTAGCCAGATACATTAGGCAAGCAAAAGAAATAAAATGTATCTAAATTGGAAAGGAAGAAGCAAATTTATCTATGTTCACAAATGACATAGTCTTATGTGTAGAAAACCTAAAGATTCTATAAATTAAAAAAAAAGCTGTTAGAACAAAAAAAGAATTCAGTAAAATATCAGGATACAAAGTGAACACAAGAATCACTTGCATTTCTATACATTAACAATGAACTCTATGAAAAGAAAGTTAAGAAAACAATTCTATTTACAATAGCATCAAAAAGAATAACATACTTAGGAATCAATTAACGAAGGAAGTGAAAAACATACACGCTAAAAACTACAAAACATTGCTAAAAGAAATTCAAGACATAAATATGTGAAAAAACATCCCATGTTCATGGATTAGGAGGCTTAATATTGTTAAGATGTCAATACTACCCAAAGTGAACTATAGATTGATTACTATCCCCATCAAAATCTCAGTGTCTTTTTTTACAGAAATAGAAAAATCCATCCTAAAACCTATATGGAATCTCAAGGAATTCCAGTTAGTGAAAATATTTTTAAAAGAACAAAGCTGGATGCCAGACACTTCCTGATTTCAAAATTTACCGAAAAGCTACAGTTATCAAAGCAGTGTGGTAGTGGCATAAAGACAGATATATAGACCAGTGGAGCAGAATAGAGAACCCAGAAGTAAACCCTCGCATATGTGGTCCAATGACTTTTGACAAGGGTGCCAAGACACAAACAGTGTCAGGAAAAATGAATATCCACCTGAAAAAGAATGAAGTTGGACCCTTATCAAACAACATATGCAAAAATTAACTTAAAATGACATACACGTAAGAGCTAAAACCAGAAACTCTTAGAAGAAAACAGCGGAAAACATTCATGACATTGGATTTTGCAGTGATTTCTTAGATATAACACCAAAGGTACAACCAACAAAAGAAAATTAGACAAACAGAGCTTCTTCAAAATTGAAAACTTTCGTGCATCAAAAGAAACTAGTAACAGAGTAAAAAGCAACCCACAGGTTGGGAGAAAATATTTGCAAATAACATATCTGATAAGGGATTAAACAACAAAGTAGCATAGAATTACCATTTCATCCAGCAATTTCATTTCTGCAAATATAGTAACTCAGATATTTGTATTCCAATATCTACAGCAGCCTTATTTATAAGGGCCAAAAGGTGGAAACAAACCAAATGTTCACTTTTGGGTGGATGGATAAACAAAATAAACAAAATGTAGTATATACATGAATGGAATATTATTTAGTCATAAAGGAATGGAATTGTGATACATGCCAGACACAAAAGGACAAGTATTATATGATTCTACTTATACAAGTTATGTAGAATAATCAATATCTAGAAACAGAAAGTAGAACAGTGGTTACCAGGGGCTGAGGGGAGGTAGGCATGGAGTTCTTCTTTAATGGGTACATGGTTTCAGTATGGGATGATGAAAATTCTGGAGATGGATAGTGGTGATAGCTGCACAACAATGTGAATGTACTCAATGACACTGAACCATTAAAAATGGTTAAAATGGTAAATTTTATGTTGTATACAGTTGACCACAATAAAAGAAAAGCAATTGACCACATAAGTGTGGGTCTATTTCTGAAATCTTTACATTGGTCCATTGATTCATGTTTCTGTACTTATGACAATATCACATTGTGTTTACTATTATAATCTTATAGTAAGTTCTGAAATTAGGAAGTATAAAGACTCCATTTTTATTCTCCTTATTCAAGATTGTTTTAGATATACTAAATCCTTTGTACTTCCACATAAATTTTAAAATCAACTTGTCAATATCTATTAAAAAATTTGCAGTTTTGATTGATACTGAGTATTTGGGAAGATGTGAACACATCAATATTTAGTCTTTAGTTCATGATCATGTTACATTTTTCCATTTACTTGTTGATTTATTTTCACTTGCTTCATCACAGTTTTGTAGTTTTCAAGGGAGAAGCTTTGTATATATTTTGTTAAATTTATTCCTAAGTGTATTACCTTTTTGATGTGTTGTGAATTGCATTTTTATTTTGTTTGTTGGAAAGTATAGAAAATAAGTTAACTTTGGACATCATCCTCATTTCTAGCAACCTTGCCAAATTTGTATGTTATTCTATTTTTTTTAATATTTCTTAGGGTTTTCTATGTACACTATCAAGACATTGACAAATAAAGATGTTTTACCTCTTCCTTTGCAATTGTTATGCCATTTATTTCCATTTTCTGACTTCCTGTACCACCAAAAGAATATGAAGTAGAAGTGAAGCATGTGACGGTCCTTGACTTGTTTTCAATCTCAGAGAGTATGTTCAATGTTAACTATAATTTTAGTGAGAAGTGTTCATTAGATGCATATCAGATTAAGGAACCTCCATTGTATTCATCCTTTGCTGAAAGTGTTTCTTATAAATGAGTGTTGAATTTTGTCAAAAGCTTCTTTGAATTTGTTGACATTTTCATAAGATATTTCTCCTTATTATCTGAGTTTTCCCCAGAATTCTGTTCAAAAGAGAAATTAGATCTATGTGTATTAGCTATTTTGACTGCAAAATTTAAAATCAATAATATTATTTCAGCATTAAAATACTGAATTTTCCAAGTTACAATATTTTACTGATTTAAGACCTGTGTGATATATTCCTTGCAAAGAGTTATATGAATCTTATCTCTTCACTGAAAAGGAAAGAAAGAAAAAGAAGAAAGAAAAATGAAAGAAAGAAAAAGAAAGAAAAGAGAAATTGGCCACTATTCTTTTATTAACTGAAAGGAAGAAAGGTCAAGCCCATGGGAACAATTTAATCAGTCTTGACAGCCAGACCCATGATTCAGAATGATTTAAATGGCCTGTGACAAAAGAGTAGCTAAGTCTGCAAAATGTCCATTATCTTTAGTTAGCAAGGGCCTATTGATTTAGGACCTGTGTGACTCGGATATGAAGTTAGGGAGAAGTGAGGTGGACACTCCAGTTCAGCATTATTCACAACCAACAAAACACTCCAAGGTAAGTCTGTTAATAAATTACAAATTAAATTTTCATGCTAAATAGCTACAGATGTCTGAGGAATTAGGGAGCTGATTGTTTGCTGCTTGCTGTGATTTTTTTCTGAGATCACATATGACAACACTGTTATGATGATGTCTTTAATGTTATTATACAATGAACGATAAACTCTAAAACTTGTTCTGTTTTATGATACAATTGTTTAGTTGAATATAATCTGTTTCACCTGGGGATGTCTTCCCCAGCTGTACTTAAGTGCTGGTAAGTAGACCAATGTGTTTGAGTGATAATTTATGGCTCTGTCTGAGACTGGATTAGCAGTAGGGTAATATGGCAACCAGGTGGAGCATTAGATAGAACTTGCTATAAAACTTAGGCCTAATTTTATCAAGGAGGGCCACAGAATTATTCATGCACAATCCCCTGGAGAAAAGCATTGATACTGAGTTCAGTGACTGCTACCTAAAGCCTCATATTTCCCAGATGCCAAGAGTTGAGCTCCATCTTCGCACCACTTCCAAGAGTTCAATGCGATACAAGACAAGACCATGGCAGTGAAACTGCCATGAACTGGTCTTAGTCTTCTGTGTGAAAAGGTGGAATGTACTGCCTCATTATCAGAAAACACAAGTGTCACTGCAGTCACATAGTGACAACTAGGAGTCAATGAGACGCCAACCTGGATGTGTGGCTGTGGACCCAGCTCTGGGTACTTATACAAGGACATTGCTTACTTGATAATATAAACAAAAATTATATGCAGGTCGATTGACTAGATTCTGAAAGTAAAAGAAAAATATATTAAGAATTTTCTGTGAATAAATATTTTTATTAACAAAAAACTTCAATAGAAGGAAAAGCTACTTACACCAGAATAGAAAGGCTCACCAGACACACATATCACATCCTGTTCCTGGATCATCAGAATATCTCTGGCTAGGTGCAGCCGGACTTTGAAAGGTTCCTGATTACCATCCTGCAGCAAACAAATCCCTGTCTTTGTCTTCAGATTTAAAAAAAAGAAAGAGCCAACAGAGAAAAAAATTATATTTAGTTTATAGATTATAATTTTATGGCCTATTTATAGCAAATCATAATGAATAACATTTGAGAGCTAGAGAAAATGCTTTCTGATGAGTCTGAAATTTAATGCTTACTGTGGGTTCAGAGAAAAGGATAACCATTTCATGTAAAGTAGATTTCAGTTAATGGAGATTATGTCTGAAAATCCACACAAAGAACTGGAGGGTAAGGAGTATAGTTTATATACTACATTTGAAAAATAATAAAAGTTTTGCTCAATACTTGTAATCTAAATCTAAAATTTTTTATAATACCTTTATTTAGGTACAATTCACATTCTATACAATTCAACTCTTTAAAGCGCACAATTCAATGTTATTTTAGTATATTCAAAGTTTTCAGCCATCACTACAATCAGTTTTAGAACATTTTCCTCACTCCCAAAAGAAACCTAATACCCCTATCTCTCCATCCCTCTCCCCAGCCCTAGGCAACCACTAATCTACTTTCTGTCTCTGTCATAGAGTTTTAAATATGAAAACATATCTACTTAAAATCTTCTCTAACCTCCACCTCATGGTTCTGAGTCGCCAACATGTCCACACACACATTTTGTACAGATGGGGTAACAAGGATAAGGAAGTGAAGTGAACTGCCTAAATTAGCATAGTTAATTAAAAACAGAGGCTAAGACCCAAGATTTTGATTCCCAATCACTGTTTTTGCTTGACACATTTTTGGACATTGTGAAAACAGCGTGTGAAGATTTCTGAACTACACAGCCATAAACCAGTGTTTTGCTATTATTGAAGAAACCCATGAATCTTATCACTCCTAAAACGTGTCAGTATTAGACTATTCACTCAGGTAAATAGAAATATTCTGGCTAGCAAGTGCTCTTAATGTTCCCATTTGTCAGAGATGCAAAAGGCAATTCCTTTGAGATAGAATACAATCTCTGGCTATTATCCTGTACCAAAAAATCAACAGGAACAATGAACACTTTGGAAATTGCATTTTCTTTTAACAACTAGGGAGCCATTCTTAATTTGGATAAAGGGATAAGTACATAGAAATATATATATTTATCCTTAGTATTTAACGAACACAAAATCCCAGGCAAACAATGCCAGGTTTTCTCTTGGAATATACACTTCCATGTGTATTGCTAGGAATTTATTTCTTTAAAGGAATGTGCCACAATGTTGATGAGGATATACTTTGATACTGCAGCCTCCTAAGATCATTCTTTCTGTAAACTGCTTTATCCCATGTGCTAAGACATATCATTATACACTCTATCACATATGATCTTATGTTAATCTTTAGTAACTATTTTGTAAGAGTTATGATATCTTTTAAAGAAAAACAAACTTTTTAAAAAGCAAGGACGGCATTTTCCCTTCTATGGGATTGGGGCACAGCTAGTGCTAACTAAATTGTGTCAACTAATCTATTCTAGAGCATAAATCAAGTGGTTATGTCTAGAGGACAAAAATATTTCAGCAAAGCAAATTATATTATTTTTAATATAGAACATAATTTTCTACATTTTTCACATGGAAAAGTCTCTCATGCTTACAACGTGCTCTTGGCTGGGAGACAGCTTTGGGACTGTCTGAGGTGGCACAGGGAAGGGAGGGATATAAAATAATAGCAAAACCAAGTGAATATAATTGAGCACATTTACCAATTTTTCAATGTACAGTACATTCTGGGCCAATTTTTTCCCAGAAGTGTAACGGAATAGCTGGCAATCACAAATAATGCTCTATCACAACTTGGGGATGAAAAAGGGGCTTTTCCCTGAAAGCCCATAAATGCATTATTATTACTCATCAAAGAGATATAAAAGATCATCCAGGGAAAGTCTGGGGAACTAAAACTCAGTTATGAGGCTTCTCTTAGCACATTTCTGATGTGGCTCATTCACTCAAATAATTTGTAAAATGTCCCCGAATTATTAGATAGATGTCTGGAAAACAGAATACAGACTTTGAGCTCACAGCTGGGTCCTGAGAGGATAAGAGTTAAAGAAAATAAAGAATGGGCAGCATTTTGTTAGAATGAAATATATATATATATATATAGACACCAATAAATAAATGTTTGGAGAAAACAGCAAATAGAGAGCTAAGGAAGCTAAGAACAAATTCAAGTTAAAATATATTTCCAAGTGTTCTAGATGTTACATATAGTCTTTTATTAAAATTCAGCTTCTGTACATGGAAATAAACTTAAAATCCCATATATACATCTATTTCAAAAATATTATATAACACTATCAGAGAGTCAGACATGAATTAGATAATAGTCTCTGACCTTAGAGTATTCCTACTTAAAAAAATATATGTATAAATAAGATGCAATATGCTATCTGATTATCTGATATGGGAACAAGATCGAGAGAGGAATTAAATATTCATGAGGGTAGAGGGTATTACAGGAGTCTTTGTAGTAAGAAAAATGTCTGGTTCATTTTGGAAAAATAAACTGAAGTAACAATAATTAGAGGAGACAGAAGTTGTTTTATTCAAAAGTGGGAAAATGAGTAGATATGGAAACATGAGAATGTGTAGTTCATGCGATGCAAGAAGAAGACAGAAACCTGAAAATACATCCTTAAGGCTGAGCCTCTGTGATTCAGCAGAAGTCACAGGGGAGCAAATGCCAGAAGAGGGGGAGGTGTGTCAAGCACCTTGTATGATGTGCCAGGAGTTTGAAGGTGTTACAGATGCCCTAGAGAAATTTGAATAGTGAAATAATATATTTAGATTTGTGTTTTATAAATATATTTCTTATAGTGGAGTAGAAGAAGGATAGCAATTGGGAAAGTTAAAACATAGTTATTGTTGACAGAAGCATAGACCTTGAACAGGAAATGTTGGGGACAGGTAACAATTGAATTAAATTCGAAGCTGTTATAGTAGATCAAGGAAGATGGATAAAATCCCTTTCAGGGCTCTTTCCTGATTCAGAGCAGCATTACTGGACCATTTGCCATGATATTTATTGTATGCTTACTGCAAAAGTCTGGGTGCATAGTGTTTAGAGTGCAGGCTTGGAGTCAGACACTTATCTCAGGTCCCCCAAAATATTTCCCCAAATAAATAAAGGAACAGCATGGGCAGAGGATGTGTTTTCAGCATAAAAAGGGTAGGAACATGCAGTCAGGGCCTCAGGCAAGGCCGATTTGTATTGCTGGTCCTTCTGTCTTTCTACACTATTAGTATCATTGCTACGGAAATGTTGCCACGTATTTCATTTATATGTAGTTTAATAACCGCTTATATAGAGCTTACTGTGTGTCCAGAAATATTAATTCATTTGACTCTCCTAACAACCCAGCACAACTGCTCTCATAGATTGGACAGGAGCAGAGGAGCAGAGATGAGTGGAAGTGAGGATTTGAACCCAGGCTGCTGGCTCCAGACTCTGCACTCTTAACTCCTTGCCCTGGTTTCCCTCCTGCAGAGATTGAGGGATGCCTCCCCATGTTGTTCTGTATACAATGACATGGCTATCAGCCTCTTTCAGCAGGTAGCATTTTGGTCATCAAGAATCTCGTAAGGGAGTGCAAAGAGTTCCGAGAAGGACATCAACTTGAACCAGCTGTTTTTCACGTTATCAGAGCAATGACCACTGAAGGGAAAAAAAGTGAGTAAGAGACCACTCTGGGCCTGGCAGGTGATTTTTCCTACCAAAGCCATGCTACTAAGGGAGCATAGGACAGTGTCTAATATGGGGACAGCCTTGGTCTACACACCCTTGCCCCCATGGATTGCTTTAGGGATACAACTGGGAAACAGGACCGTGAGAGCAGCTGCTAGTACAGCACAACTATCTGTGGACCCAGATTGTTTACAAATAAAAAAATCACCTAAATAATTATTGGCCCCATAATTATTGGCCACACAGTTTAGTATAAACCTAGGATATGTATTTGTCTTATTTTTATCAACATAACAATCATTTGTCTTCAACCTTTTTTGACTGTGTACATTGCATGTGTGTAAAGAAATGTATGTGCTACATATAATGTACAAATATGTAAATTATGAAACATACATAAAATTTAAAAATTTTTAAAGTTATGATTCATAAAAATTTATATAAACTCAAATGTTGTTTTCCTGTGCCTGATGGATGATCCTTTATTACAGGTGGATTTTACTATTTGCTTAGAGGAATATTAAAAGACAGCACCTCTTAATCACTTAAAAGGCAATACTTTTAAAAATCTTGTTTTCTGTAAACCGATGAAATGTTTTTATAAATTTGCATAGATTTACTGTTTGTTTTAAAACCCAAGCCTCACATTTAAATTTACTGAGAATTTATGCTCAGCTTAAACCTAGTACCTAATTTGGAACCGTAAAAAGTAGACCCTCATCCATTTTCTACTTAAAAGTTAAGGCCTCTTTAATTTGGGTTCTCGTTTTTCAAAGAACACAAAATGTGTTTGCATGAAACATTAAAATCTGTGTTCCTTTAATCTTGAATTGTAGAATTTGCAATACCAGTTGTAAGAAACTACAAACTACAAGAAACTAGGCAGAGACAATAATATGAACTGCAAACACTCTTACAGGGATCCCTGTTATTTCTAGATCTTGGTTGACAAATATTATTCAGTTTGTTCTGTAAAGCTATAGTTTTAAGTGACATGTAATTTCTTATACTGTACCATATTGCAGCAGTGGTGCACTAAGCCCCATTTCATGCAGGGTCCTTCAAATTGCAGCTTCTCCTTTATCCTTCCCTTCTGAGATCACTTCTAATCCTGGCCTTTTCCTTAGCTAAATTACAGCCATGTTTCAAGTACTCATACAAGACTCGTTTCTTCTCGCAGCCTTTGGAGACCACTCCACCCAAAGATGAGTCTTTATTTTTCTGAACTCAGCACTTTCATTAAATAAATATATTCACCTAACAATTGATCAGTATTGTATTTTGGCATCATATGTAGTGACTTCAATAATATTTAGTCCTATATCACACTATTTAACTTCATCTTATACATTATTATTTCAAGAAGGTCTTAATAAGTTATTATGGTTTTTATTCTTAAGGGTTATTAATATGCAGAATCTATTACAGTATTTTACTTATAGTAGGATTTCTTTCAATATCTCTTGATTGAATCATAGCAACAGATTAAATTTTATTATAAAAGATGCTAAATTTAATTATATATGTGCATGAATTGTTAAATTATTAAATATATGTTACAGATAAATATGTACTTTCATACTCAACACAAAGATGTGGATCTTATTTTAAGAAATGTAGATGTGAAAATGAAATATGGGAAAAACCCAGACTAAAGATAGCATATTGGCTTATTGGAACACATAGTCATTTTGATGACACTTTTAAAAGCAGAGAATCAGTAATTATGCCTAACTATACACATACTTTTTCTTCTAAATTGTAGATTTTGTGTCTGTCCCAATTGTATTCTCTATCTTCATTTTTGTTTCATGTCAAACTTTTAAATCCCAATTCCTTAAACGAATTGTAACATTTCCTTTTTAAGAGGAAAATTTTCTTAAACATTCAATAAACTTTTCTTTATAAAGAATCTGTATTAGATAACTAAGATGTTTTAAATAAAACTTATCTGGGCATACTCCTATTCCTTTACAAATAAGAGAGTTCCTGGCATCCACATGGTAATATTCTAGATGTCTGAGGGACATGGATGTCAGAATTTCATTTTTAATGGCTTATTAGCAATCAAGAGAAGACAAGTTTTATTAAATATATCTTTGACTAAGATATAATTTCCAGCAATGTAGTATTTTAGAAAGAGGCTCAAACTTAGACCCAAGAGCTCCAAGCTACACATTATAGTTTTGTTTTTAACTAATTAATTAAATGGCACTCAACATTTCATAAAACTTCTCAGTCCTCATCTGCGAAGTGACAGAGTTAAGCTAAATTACGTTTATGGTTCCTGACCACTTAAATGTTCTAAGATTGTAATTTTCAGGCAAACTCATTGTGGTCCATCTTCAGGGTGATTTGATCATCTTCATGGCATTCTGTAGTTCTGTATTCCTCCAAACCAGGCAGTATGTGGAACATGAGCACTGTTGATGAGCAGTTCTGAGACAGTCCTACACCATGGTGGGGACAGTAGAAAATGGTAGAGATTCTCAAATGGCTCATTGCAAGAGAACAAATCCTACCACTACAGAAGCAAGGGTAAGATGATCACAACAGTATTACCATTGTGAAATAATTCTTTGGAACCTTAAATAGAATTTGATATATATTCCAAATCAATAAATCAAAACAATTTTGTTTTAAAAAAGGCCTGAGAAATCGATCTTATGTCAGCCTCTGAAGTCCAAGGTAAATCATTTGCTAAGATAGCATTTGGCTGCTATACAGTCCTTCCACATGAATCTCATATGTGTTTCATTTGTCTCATTGACACAAATATCCATTCAGTTTCAAGGAGCTTTATTACCCAAAACATAAGATAACACTTTGATAGAAATAGTAGATTCACTACAGTCAAAATTAAGAATACCATACTATATATTGTATTTAAAACTAGAAATGACACAGAATTAAAGGATATTTAAGCTTCTAAAACATTAATTCACTTTTTTTTTAAAAAAGTATGAAGTTATAGGTGCTGAGTTAAAAAGATGAATAAGCTGTACCCTCTAACCTTATTATATTCATATTCAGCACATGAGAGAGATTTGTAAATAAGTAGCAATAATGTAATTTGAAAAGTGCTAGCATAGAGATATGTATAAAGTATTATCATACTTAAATATTTGAAAACAAAGAGAAGCATAAGTATTGAAAATATGAAAGCAATTTGTTAATTTTCTGAAAGATCTTACTTATATTCTTAGGATTCTTTGAACAAACTGTGACAAATTTTCTTTAAGAACAATATTTTTGCAAGAAATTTAACACATCATTTCATTAAAAGAGTAACCTTTACAAATATTAATACTGAAGTTTTTGTTTGTTTTTAACTCTATCACAGGTAATCCAGTTATGGTTTTTTTTCTTGGATTATTTACAAACAATAAAAAATATTTTAAACCTTCTAAGCCAATATGAAATATTTTAACCTATAAAGTTTGCATTTTGAGTGAAAATGCTTTGACTGTTGCATGTTTAGTAAAAAAAGATGATCTTTCTTCCTAATAGAGAATAGTTACATTCTCCAGGGTCCCAAATCCATGCCCTCTTGACTGCACACTTGAAAGGCCTTTAATATCCTCGAAAGAGCAATGTATCACTTTAACTCGTACCAAAGTGTGATGATAGCTCTACAGAGAAGCTGAATTGCCATGAATTAACACTTAAATAATGTTGAAATACTAAAATAATATTGGAATCATAAAATCATAGGATTCTAGTGCTGAAAGAAACCTTAGCTGTCTTCTAATTTATAACCATTTATGTGAAAATGATTACTTCTAACACTCTTACCACCTGAAAATATACAGAGCATAGTTTATGGAGAAAGACAATTCAATAAAATCAAATTAGCTCCAGTCTTCTTAGAGAAAGAGTGAAAATCCAAGTCTTCCTCCGGCGCTCTTTGGCTTTCTAGTCTTACAGAAACAGATCGTACTCTGGGAATGAAATGGACCTCACAACCATCCCTCCGCCAAAAGCAGCATTCCACTTATATAAAGGTGGGCCAAGTTTTTATTGCTTGTAACCTGTTTTCCTTATTCAGAAAGCAGAAACCCATTTAACCTACCTCCTCACAGGCAGTCCTGAAATCCATGTGCTATGGCACAGCAAAGGATGTCGTCTGAAAAGACAGAGAAACGATAAGCCATCAAGCACAGCATCCAGTGTAAAAGAGGAGAACACTAATAAAGTGGAAGAAATTATGAAGCAGATCCTGTGGGCAAACTGTGTTTACTGCCACCTGTCAGGAACAAGAACTCTCAGGATATAGTAAAGAGAGAAGAAGAAGGAGAGGAAAAAAGTCTTAAACCCAGCTTTTGCAAAGTATAAACGTAATGCCACCATTCACTGTGATTGAGAATGTGCATTCCCATGCACCTCTCCTCTTCACTAAGCATTCAGACCTACCTAGAGTATGACTAACCTCCTCCCTCAAGCGTTAGCTCATTCCCAAAATTCATTTTGAAACCTGAGTTTGCAACTGGGAAAGAAACTTCAAAAGGAGTAATTAAAATTTCCTTTCATGTTGTTATCTCTTGAAAAAATGTTGACTAATCTTTCTCTTTTTAATTAAAAAGCTACATGCATAAATAATTCTCTCTGAAACTTAAAATTTTATTCACAAACAATAAGATGTAAGGAAGCAAGCTATTTATCAGAGTGAATAATGTTAGGATAAATCAATGTATGAACTATCTTACATAATTTCATCTAGTGGTCACTATCCTAAATGGTGGGCATAGACTTAAATGCATATAAATGCAAATAAGGTTTTTCACTTTTAATGCTTTTAGACAGTTTTGTTTTAATTATATGATAAACAATAAAACTGAGTTGTCATAGAAAATTTTCACCCTAAACTATAAAAAAAACTGCAGAGCCAAAACATAATGATTTAGGTAATTGAGACTTCAAAGTAAAATGTATAGTGAATTCCAAAATAGAAGATTTTGTACCCCTCAAAATCACTCCTCTTCTCAACCTTTGGAACTGTAAACTATCTTATCCTTCTTTGTCATTTTCTGTTGTATGAGATTGATGAACACTTGATCAATGAAGTGTGGGAGGAAGAGAGTGAGAGCTTCATCTGTGCTGTCACTGGATTATTACCATTGCCTTGAAAGAAAAGAGATTGAGCATTTTCAATATTAACTGAACATGCCACGAAATGTTTGGTTTTTTTTCAAATATTGGTGCTGAGCTAACACTTGTTGCCAGTCTTTTCTTTTTCTTCTTCCCAAAGGCCCCCAGTACATAATTGTATATCTTTCTGGTTGTGCTATGTGGGACGCTGCCTCAGCATGGCTTGATGAGTGGTGCCGTGTCTGCACCCAGGATCTGAACTGGCGAAACCCTGGGTTGCAAAGCAGAGTGTGTGAAATGAACCACTCAGTCATGGGGCCGGCCCCCACATAATGTATTGAATACTTTCCCTAAATAAGCCTTGTGGCTTGTGAACCTCTTTTATTTTATTGGAATGCATAGGAGGCTTATTTCAGTAAAGTTAGGTAGAGGCTTATTTCAGTAAAGTTAGGTAACCACAAATCATTAACAAGTACAAGAAGAATCTGATGATAGAAATTACTTATTTTGCACCCATGAGAAATTTGTCATTAGTTTAACAATTATTTTTCAAAATTCCTCTTAAAGTTTGCTTTTGAAGAAACTATAAATATCTACTTATCTTCAATTCTGACATGAAGTTATTCCTTTACTGTAAAAGTAGGAGAATTTCAGTATTTATTGAATACATAGAAACCCTGAATCTCTAGAATCAATTTCCTGCTTATAAATGCAGCCAGGAAAATAGACTTGAGGATATTTAACCACTTGGCTAAATTTAATTTCATTTTAGTTTCTTATGCAGATTTTAATTTTAGTGAATACATTTTTAAGATATTATTTCTTAATAATATGACAGATTTGAGTACAGGTTGTATCTATGCCTTCTACCATTTTTACCATGTCTTTCTCTTCTTAATTTCCCATCATCTTTCATCAAAATATTAGGTAACGATATCAAGTGTATATTCAGAAAAAGAATTAGTATGGGATTAAAAACAATTTAATTACTAGGTAGCATAATAAATTTCATAGCTATAGTAGAACTATTTTCAGTGATTATAAATTTAAAAACGAGTAAAAGTTGTTCAAGTTTTATTTTTAAAATCTTCTGAGACCTTTTTTTGTATAAAGTTTTATGTTAGAACAGTTTTAGGTTTACAGAAATATTGCGAAAATAGTACAGAGAGTTCCATATACCCCAGTTCCTTTTTCCCTCTATTATTAACGTCTTAAATTAGTATGACGCATTTGTTAAAATTAACAAACCAATATTGGTATTACAAAGTCCATATTTGAAACAAATTTCCTTAGCTTTTTCCTAATAGGCTTTTTCTATACCAGGATCCCGTCCAGGACGCCATATTATATTTAATCATCATGTCTCCTTAGGCTCCTCTTGACTGTGACTGTTTCTCAGGCTTTCCTTTTTTTTAATGACTTTGACAGTTTTGAAGAGTACTGGTCAGTAATTTGTACAATGTTCTTCCATTGGGATTACCCTGATGTTTTTCTCATGATTGTACTGGGGTTATGGGTTTTGAGGAGAAAGATCACACAGACAAGTGCCATTTCACCCCCTCATATCAGAGGTATGCACCATCAACATGCCTTATCACTGTGGAGGCTGACCTTGGTCACCAGGCTGACACGGTGTTTGTCAGGTTTCTTCCTTGGTAAGTTACTCCTTTTTTCCCTCCCTTCACACTTTGCTCTTTGGAGAGATGTCACTATGCTCAGCTCACACTTACAGAGTGGCGAATTATTCTTCTCTTCCTTGAGGATGGATTGTCTACATGATTTATTTGGAATTACTCTGCATAGGATATATGCCTGTTCTTCCCTATTTACTTACTTATTCAATCATTTATTTAGGCCCTGTCAGCTGACAGAGCAAGGAAATGTGTGTATGATAACTCATGTAGTAAGGCTGCACCACAGTTATATTTATCCAGTCAAAATTACACTAAACCTTCACTATTTCCTCCGGTGAAAGCAAACAGACAATGCTATCTGATCCCATTAGCCTATTCCCATGTGTATAAAACCAGCAAATGTTGTCAGAAGTAAGTTAGCCATATTTAGGGGAAAAAAGGCTTTTTATAAACCAAATATATCAGGAATAATGTATTTGAGTTAGTAAAAGATAAAAATAGTTTTAAAAAATAAAACACTGCTGTAAAGGAATATATTGTAGGTAAACACTATCTTTTGAGGGAAGGTTATATTGATAATTTTTAGTTCTTTATAGATGCAATAAATGTGTCAAGCCTGAAAATAACTACAAGCTACAATATGTAGACACTTGTGGGAGATTGAATGTATGGCCCAGATTCTCCACCTTTCCTGACATCTACTCCCATACCATAGATTTATCATGGAAAGGAATGCTTTCTCCATGCACTGACTTTGGCCTTGACCATGTAAATTGCTCCTGCCAATGATGAAGTGACTATATGCTAGTTTCTTTAACAGCTTCCCATGTTCCCACATGATCTCTTGCTGTTCTGCCATTGCATGAGAAGAGCCTCCTCAAGAAGCTACTGCCCACTTGACCCGGCCCCAGAACAACATACATGGAGCAAAACTTCCCTAAATGGACCACAGAACACAGGGTGAAGTGTGGGAAGCATTCCCCCAATCTAGCTGCCATTGTATTGTGACAAGGTCTGGCAATGGAAGGAGATTCATGCAAGGCACTTCTCCAGGGAACATAATTCTTTAAGCAGAATCCTTTTTCCTCCTTTCTAAAGCCTATTACTGATTAACGTATTCCCTCTGTCCTGGAAGCCTTGTAAAAACAGGCAGAACTAGCAATAAACGTATCTCAAAGAACAAACAGCAGCCCCCAAGGATGAGGGATTCTATATTCCGTTAATTATATACTCGCTGTCCTCCTAACTCCTTTGAAGACCCTGAAACTATGTAACCTCTTCCTAAACAATCGATATGTATGCTGTACATCTGGTATGTAGATAACCACCTTTGATTATTACCTTTAGTCACGCACTGCCCCTCATCTATTGTTCCCATGATGACAATAGTTAGACCACCTAGTGTGATTTTTTCCTATATAAGTGTACCCTGTCCCCGAAATAAATTGGACTTGCTTGCAACTGCATCGAGTCTCACGTCTAGCACTTACACTTTCGCCGACACCGTCTCTCCCGCGGGCACCTGGACTCTGCAGAGGCTGGACCCCGGCAGTGAAGTAGAGCCACCCTCACATCCCTGCCTCAACAGAGTTGCCACAACCAACCTGCAAACTGTGGAGTAAAATCAAGGCTTAGTATTTGTAATGGTTAGCTTTATGTGTCAACTTGACTATGATATAGTCCCCAGTTATTCAATCAGAAACATAATCTAGATGTGGCTGTGAAAGAAGTTTGTAGATGTGGTTAATATCTACAATCAACTTACTTTAAGTATTGGAGATTATTCTCGAAAATGTGAGTCAGCCTCATCGAATCAGTTAAAGAACTTAGAAGAAAACACTGAGGTTTCTTGGAAGAAGAAATTCTGCCTGAAGTCTGCAACATCAATTTCTGTCTGAGAATTTCAAGGCTGCTGGGCTGACATAAAGATTTCAGAATTGCCAGCTCCCTCAATTACATGAGCCAAGTCCTTAAAATAAATCTCTCTTCCTCTCTCTCTCTTTATATATATATGTATCTGTATGTTTGTGCGTGGGTCCATATGCATACATATAATGCATGTATGTATATATGTGTATATGTTTGTATGTATATATACATGAATTATATGTAATATATATACATTATGTGTAATATATACAAACTGGTCTGTTTCTCTGTAGAATCCTAACTGATATAGATTTTGATACCAAAAGTGGTTGTAGAGAAGTAGAATCTTAAAGAAGAATTTTCTGAATTGGTTCTGGGGTTTTCAGAATTGGTTCTCTAATCTGATTAGATTTAAAGGAACCACTGACTCTATGTCCAGTATTAAAGAGAGCACTGAGAGTCCATGGCATGATATAGCAACAGGGATATACAATATATCATCATCAGATACTCTTAATCGAAGTGTGACCCATGA